TTACAACAAAATCGGTACAAACTGAACTGCTTATCATAAAAACATTACTTTTAATCCATTTTGGTATTCAGAATTTGTTATTCAAAGTAATAAAAAAATGGTGTTGATTAGAGCTGTTATTTTAATGTAAAAACATGGAAAAGATAAATTAATGGAATTAAAAGTATAGTGAGTGACACGGATTTGAACCAGGGACCCGCCACATTACTAGCGAGAACTCTAACTCTGAGCTACGCCCTGCCGTAGCGACTATGCCATGTTTTACTATACTTGAAAACCTACTCTATTGCTTGTAACGGCGTTGCAATTATTTGTTACATCAAGAAACGTTTAGGCTTATTATTCATGGTTTGTAGACTCAAAATAAGAATATTACCAAATGGTGTTTAACCCAAATATCCTTATGCATTCGAATAACTGAAAACATAGGTAAGGGTACTTGAAACCGTTCCAATAAACAAAATGTCCTTTGACGATTTAATTACATTCAAAATTTGAGCCTTCTTTTCTTTACTCATAGCAAGCTTAATTTTATATGTCAGGATAAAACAAAAACTATACAAATCACAGCGAATGCGGCAGCAACAGATCATCTTCCACCCAACTGTTGAGCGCCGCAACTAGGCCTACAACCGGCTACACTACTATCACCGTGTTGACAGCGACGCGACGCCGCGCCGCGCCGGCGCGTCGGCGGGCTCATTGATGGACATAAATAATAGCGGTTTGATAAATAATGTGTGATTGTTTTACTTATGTGTCTATATAGTTATTAATTAAAAGAAAACACTGCGTTTCTACAACTATTTACTTTTTGTATTAAATGAGAACAAAATTAAAACCCTGTATAAAGGGTTTGAAAACCCGTGATTGAGGTTAGAAATTTGTTTTGAAAATTTACCTTGTAAAGTTGATCACGTGACTAGTAGTTTTGGTCACGTGACTAGTAAAATACACTAGTATTTACTAGCGTTATAAAAACGTTTATGAAACGCAAATTAGTAGGACAGGTAAATACGGGGCTAGTATTTACTAGACTAGTAATTACTAGACTAGTATTTTTATGAAACAGGGCCCAGGTGGTGCTTTGTTTTCAGCTTAAAAAATTGCTGCAACACACAGGAAGCACCATTGTAGCGAGGTAAGACACGTCTTCTGTCTCATTATGTACATAAGAATCTCATTTGACTCCTTGGTGCTCTCGTCCCTACATAATGTCTGCCACAGTCTTCAAAGATTTGCAATTGGGTAGGCATTGTGACCCTATTTCTCCCATATTTTTTATTGCAATTTTTGTTTGAATTTTGTGCTTAATTCTTCTTTGGGTTCTAGAGACATTGTCGTACTTACTTATATATCTTTGCGTATTCAGGATCATCACCTTCTTGAGGAATTAGAGGACCCACTCGGTGTGGTAAAATGTGTCACGGATCTTAAAATTGTAGATCCCCTGTGGATCTTTCTCATCCTAATGAGCTTCGGAGCTGACCATGGTAAAGGCAGAATTGAATTGACGAACTTTATCCAAAAGATTTCTTGATATAAGTCTCACAGTCCTATTTTCAGATTGGGAGTTTCCAGTAAGAACCTAAAGGTATGGTGAATTGCACAAATGAGGTAAACGAACCTTTCATTTATGGCAACAAAGAGTAAAAACTTAACTGTCTCGGTCAGTCTTTTCTTGCTTAAAAATATGTAAGCCACTACAATGTAAACATTTAACGTTCATTTGTCCGAGATTGAACTATCACAACAGTGGTACTACCACTATAACCCATCAAATGTTCAATTGAGAGGTTGATGCTAGCGGTCATGTTCGGGTTCCCTCCAGCCACTCAAAGTTCTTCGCCGGCATTTGATTTTAAATTGAAATGAAATAAGGAAGTTGAAGTTAACCAAACAACAGAAAACACTATAAAGGAATTGGAATTTTGATACACATTGTAAATTACAGGATAATATGGTAATGTAACGAATAACTGCCCTGCGAATAATCACTTTTAAACTTTCACTTCATAACATCGAACTGTAACTACATGATAATCAGTAAAATACGATGTAAGGTAAATCAATTTAACCATATACAAAAAGAATTGAATATTTATTCTCAAACTCTTCATTATGAACCAGACTTATTTACCAGATTGAAACAAAATATAAATTCCAGCTTTGCTCTGGAAGTTTTACGTCCTGCAGTCTGTGGTTAACCTTAAACACTATTTCAAAACTACGTCCATATGTTATTTGTAAACAAAGGGAAATGAGTTTGATCAAATGTCAACAGATAGGCCACCTTCCAAACTTTGGCCCTTAAGTGTACTTAAGTGGTGCTCTTTCTAAATATTTTGAGACGCATTTGCACATCTACGTGGAAATACCTTTAATTTGACACCTCAAACTTTAAAATCCATCAAGCCGTTATCGAGTTATGACTGTGAAAAGAAAACTGCTTGCGTATTAATATATAGATTACTTTTTAAATTTTTTAATTCATCATGCAACTTATTTCTGAACCTTAGGTAATAGTTCTTCAAAATAAGATTGTTGCAATGTTTTTTAACTAGTTTAAACAGGGCATTTCTTTTCTTTATTTTACTACATAAAGCATCATTAATCCATCGTTTCAGTTTCTTAATTCTACCAATTTTAATGACATTTTCCCTACACTTATCTATACAGGGTTAGTAAAAAGTGTGGAGACCCCCTGTTATTTTTTTAACGGCCCATACTAGAAAAACTAAACTTGGCACACCATTATGGAATGTTATGAAGTACTTTTTGGGCATAACCGCCATTTGGCGTTCATCCCCAAAATGGGGGATTTTGGGGGAAACTAAAAAATTCCAAACACAAAGACCCATCGAGTGACCCCTCATTTTGAAGGTCCTGGTAAAAGAAAACGAACAACGCAAACTATAGGTATCTATCTTAATACAGTAAAATATGGCAGCCAATTGAATATAAAATTGCAAGTTATTCCGATTTCTAATGATTTCAATCAGCTTCCATTTTTTACTGGATTGAGATAGAAACCTCTAGTTTTCGTTGTTAGTTTTCTTTAACCAGGACCTTCAAAATGAGGGGTAACTCAATGGGGCTTATCATTTAAAACTTTGGAGTTTCCCCCGAAATCCCCCATTTTGGGTTTTGTAAGCAAGTGGCTATTAGGCTTAAAAAGTACTTCATAACATGCCAAAAAGATGTGTAGGGTTTAGTTATCCTATAGTGAGCCGCTACAAAATTTACAGCGGGTCTCCAGACTTGAAAAGCTGTAAGTTAAATTTAACTTCTGAGAATTTCAATCAGCTGCCATCTTTTACTAGATTGAGATAAAGACCTCTAGTTTGCGTTGTTGGTTTTCTTTTACCAGGACCTTCAAAATGAGGGGTCATTCGATGGGTCTTTGTATTTGAAACTTTTGAGTTTCCCCCAAAATCCCCCATTTTGGGGATGTACACCAAGTGACGGTTATGCCCAAAAAGTACTTCATAACATGTCATAAAGGTGTGCCGAGTTTAGTTTTTCTAGTATGGGCCGTTAAAAAAATAACAGGGGGTCTCCACACTTTTTACTAACCCTGTATATCTTGTAAATAAAGCAATAAAAGAATCAAAAGCCGCAGAAGGATCAGTTTGTCTGTAAACACAAGACCAGTCAGCGCTGTCCAACATCTGATTAAGCTTATCATAGTCTATGCGATAAGTCACTGGAGGCGGGGCAGTGGTGGAACAAGAGCCCCCCCCCCCCGCTCCCCCTCCTCCAATGCAACTGGACACACAACAATGAATGATCTGTGAATTGTTAGGTTAGGTTATGTTAGAATAGCACCATTTTATTATGTAATTTCTAAACGGGGAAATATAAATCAATAAATCATTAATAAGGATGAAATACTGGTAACAATAATACATTATTAACTTATTGGTCTTAGAAAGTGAAAAGTGTAACTTAATCAGGTGATTTTCATATTGCAGAATCAGAGTTAGCTAATTAAAGTTGTCACTTCCATTTGCTTGACTATGATTGAAAACAATCAGGGGTTGGTTTACTTAACCCATAGTTCATTCCACTTGTAAATGTCATCCATCCATCCTACCTTGTTTATTGTAATGTTGTATATTATTACGGCGATATCTTGAGAAATATTCATCAGCTGTGAAGAATAATGGTATATTTGGATTCAGGAGGTAAAAAACTACAAAGTAAGATATCAAAATTAAAAATTCGTTTGGAGGCACCTATACGGAATAATTACCGTAGTACCAACCAAGTAGCTCCGTGCACATTTTAAAAATTTTACCACGACTTTAAATAGGCCTACGCCAAAACACAAAATTATTCATGTCATGCGTCAAGAGGACTATCGTTGTTTTGAACAGAATATACTTTTGACCTAGCGGCACTGTTGACTTATTGAAACAGCGATATGTATCGTTTGATCAAATATTTGTTCTCGTAGGAACTGTTCACTAGGTCAAAATCCCATTAGGTCAAACTCATATACACAGCCTACGTTTTTAGTACTGACTTTACTTGTTGACCAAGTGGTTCTTTTGACCTAACGCTACAGCAAAATATATTATTTTTGATCAAATGGTACAAGAAAAAATTATTTGACCTTCAGGCACTGTTGACCTTCTGCAACACATCCTTAAATATTTTGATTCATAAACACTAAATTATCTCTTGTCATTGACTTGGGTTTAAGACTCAAACCAATCATTATTAAACCATTTGATGCACACACATTTTGATTACTTAAGTTCATTGTGGATTTAAAATAATTGATGTTGCCAATACTATCCTATAGATAACTTTGTGAGTGTAGGCCTATACATAGGCTTGCTACCTACCTACATTTATACTCTTAAATAAAATAAATATATTTAAACTGATTATTTAACTTCAGGGAGGTTAAAAAATAAAAAAATAAATTTTAATTTTTATATTAGGTTATATTTAAATTTAATATTAGGGCACTATTTTCATCTGTTTTACAGGAAGAAAAGTTATTAATAGAGTCGGAGGGGGTCTTAAATACAAATATTTGTGGGTACATTGGAAGCGAGAAGGCCCCAAGGAAGGGCCCCCTCTGGTGGAGAAAGTTGTACAGATTGTAGACTCCTGGTGTCATTCTGCTTTCCTCGCTCTAGTAGCAAGTGGCAAACAAATGAAGTACTACTTTGCCACTGAGAATATGAAGCCTGGAGACCTAATCAAGACATCAATGAACATCCCAAGGATACCAGGTCAGTAAATTAGTTCAACAATTGCTTCTAGATGATATTATTGTAATTTTTATAATTTCTAATTTATGGATTAGTGCACATATACATGGATAGTTTAAAAGTAGATATATTTTAATTGCTGATGATTTTCTTTGACAGTACCGGTACCCATTTTGATTCATATTTGCAACAGTAGCAACTCTGATTGCATGAAAATAATGTAAAGAGGCTACTCCTAGTTGCTGGGGGTATGCAACCTCCGTAGATGCTATCAAATATAGTTTTGTTTTTTTTTTTTAGCGAATTTCCCATATAGGGAATAAGCTATTACTGTAGTACTCATGGTAAGACCTGGATCCGGGACCGATTTACTTTTTCGTTTTGAGGTCCCTAGAGGCCAAAAACACCATCCGTTCAAATTCATACATATATATATATATAGGTCATTCTCCATAAAACGTTAAATTTCATTGGGTGGAAATCAAATTTATAAAAGTTTATTTTATGGATTAAAAATAATAAATTATTGTTGACCTAGTAATAATTATTAGGACTGAAACACTCGCCCAGATCATATATGTCTATTTTCAGCTTTAAATTAAATTTTTATTTTGAGGTGTCACGGACTTGACTGCTATGTCCATGGACATGACTAATTAGGGAAATTAATAACAACAATATAAAAAGAACTATAATTATAGTTCTTTATTATATAAAAAAGTAGTATAAGTCATTTCTTATCTGAATTGTAATAAATTAATCTACAGTAACTTCAATAGTTCTTCAGGGATTGAAAAAATGTACTGTTGCCGATTGTTAGCAGTTGGCTGATTTAATTAAGAAACAATATCATTTGGCTCAACTGAGCAAATATCTTCCTTTTCAGGAAAGATATACATCATCCCTGCAGACCTCTTTAAGAACTTAATTGTCAGTTCATCTTTTGTTTTTTCAAGGATCAGTCCCACGTAATGGTGCACCATTTTTCTTCCTTCAAATCTGTCAATGACATAGTCGTTTATGTCGGCGTCTCCTGTTCCTTCTTCATGTATTGAATCATCATCTGAATATACATTGCTATACTTCAGTTTCTTCTTTTTACATATGTTATTGTCTGATTTTCCTTCCTTGATTGATTCATCGTCTGAGGGAATGTCACTGAACTTCATTTTTTCCTTTTGACAATCTAATAGACTGTTAAGGTAGGCTTAGGAACCGAAAAACAAGAATAGTTTTTTTTTTTAAATCATAAGGTTTGATAAACACAAGAGATTCTCTTAAATTTCCCAGTTACCATTAACTTTGTTCTGCTTTAATTAAATCAATATTTTTTTAAAACCGTAACAAAAGGTAAACAATTATAAAAACTATACAATTTTCTTACGTCAGCTCCGTATAACTGGACCCGGTTGGCAAATAAATCACAACAATATAATAAAAATGATATAAAGTGCTTGTTTTTATTAAGTGCCTGTAATAAAATAAATAATAGTTTATGTGATTGTTGTTATTTAGGCTATTCATCTTTTGGCAAATAAATAAATTAAGAGGCGGCAGGAATCAGGTTGAAAATCGTCAATCTGCGACTCCTGCAATTGTACGGTCCGCAACCCGCACGGCTAGTTTCTGACCTTGAGCCTATTGATCGTAACTTCCATGGATAGAGCAGTGTTGAAAAACGGACAGTTCGTACATTTCTAAATGGTGCAATACTGTGGCCGACGCGACAGGTCGAATGAATCTGTCTTTTTACACAAACAAACATTCAGCCTGCAATGCTACGCTAATTTTTAACGTACAAATTTAAAATTTATGTAGTGTGTGCGAGAAGCCAGTGATTATTACTATATTATTTTGGTGAAACTGAATTAAATTTGAAATTTTATGTTTATGCAAATATGCAATATATTTCATAGTGTGTTATTTCATTTTATTCCTCGTGTGGCGTGTGGTAAATAAGATACCATAATTGTTGTTTTTTTTCAATATATGTTTTATTAAATTACGTTAAAAGTTCTTCTATCGAATTGAGTTTTCATTCACACTCAATTTATATAACTGAGTTTAAATAATTTTATGGAAATGGGTATGGTCAATTCAATACACGTGTTTTCCTTTAGAAAACTATTTTTTTTTGGTTTTACAATGTAGTTGATGTTAATGAGTCTTTTCCAAAAAAATCAAAACAAACATGTATTAAAAATAATTATATGTACAAAAATGAATGATCATTTTACAAGCTATGATGAAATTTAACCATCGCTTTTGTTTGTCTTCTTAGATGCTTTTTGCTTTTCCTGGGCATTAACAATATATGACGGATTTCGGATTTCCATTGATCTGCAATGGCGGGGATCAATTAATTCAGGTAGAATGCAATTGAGATAAAATCTCTCTAACTTAGGGACCATGTTATTTTGCCAGAACTCATCATCTCGTTAGATTTTTTCCATTTTAGCGAATTTCCCTATAGGGAAGTAGCTATTACCGTAGGTGGCACGGTAAGACCTAGACCCAGGACCGATTTACTTTTTCATTTTGATGTCCCCAGAGGCCAAAAACACCATTCGTTCAAATTTTTATATATGTATATATATATACGTCCGTGAACGCGATAACTTGAGTAATTTTTGTCCGATTTTAATGAAATTTGGTTTAAAGGTGTAAAGCGGGATAAACTTGAATGAGTTCGCGAACCAGCATGATCGGACCATGGGAACGGGGCTTTACGAGTGGTTTTATGGTTTTATGGTAAAAATTGGTTTTTCTCACTTTTGACCCTCAAAACACAAAATTTCCCAATTTCTCTTTAGACCTTTTTAAAGAGCTTAAAAAACAAATAATTTAGTATATAAAAGTATTTTTGTTCGGTTATTAGTAATGGAGAAAATAAAAAAAATTGTAAATTGAAAATTCCCATGTTATTCTTATGGAGAATATTGTCAAATGTTGTAGTTTGCTTGTTTATGGATATATTTTGATCAAACTTGGCAAATTTATTTTGTACTAAGCTATCAATATTTTACTAAAAAACACACTTTATTAGTTTCCTTGTAGCAGCAAACCTAGGTACTCATTAAACCTAATGTTATTAAAATATATTTAATTGAAAATCAATTCAGACAATTGGAAATTTGCTTAGTCGGCAGGTTTGCTGCGGCGGGGGTATTTATTCCTTTAGTTGTCCACAGTACAAACTGGCAATAAAGTCGTTTTGTAATGCTCAACTGGCCTTGCATTTGGTAGTAAAAGTCATGGCTCTATTTATTTCACCAATCGTTCCATCCTTTACCTTTTTGCAAAACGTACATTTTCTGGAGATGACTGCTTCATCTGGGGTCAGGTTTTTTATGAAGATGGGCATTTGATCTCAATCAAGCCATCATCGTCGATCAACCCATTAGGAGATGCCCCTAGAAAAAGTTTATCGCCGTCGATAAACAAGCCGCTTGGTTGTATGGTTTTCTGTAATAAAGAAGCAGCTTCTTCTCTGGCCACCGGTTCATTTTGGTGGCCGTAGGTCATTGACTCACAGTCAGAAGTAGAGTATAATAAATGCTTTACCAACGAACCACAACCAGTCGTTGGTTTCATTTTACATACACGCCCAAAATTAGAGGCGTGTATACCGTCAATAGGTTACGGCGTATTTCGAGCCTCTCTCCACTGTCACTTTGTTCAACAGTGGCTCGCTCGATTCGAAGTCTTTCCTCTTCTGATCGTTGAAGTTTTTTTTAGAAATTCTTCGGTTTCCATTTTCATTGTTTCCTCGTCGATGTCTGGCTTTTGGGTTGCTACGCCATAATCCGCATCGTTGTTAGAGCTCACCTGAAACAATGTCTTTCTTGAATTTTTCTGTCCCTGTCCTTTCTCAACCTTTCTTTTTCTTTTCAAACCTGTACTTTTGGTATAATATCCAGGGCTAGCCTTGTACATATGTTTGTGGAGTACGTAGTGGGTGTTTCCTGTATTATGTTGAAGAACTGCCGCTGAACACCGTCCTTGGTACGATCCTCTCATGGCGAAGTTCACCCGTTTTCCTCCTATGTACTTAGACACGATCGAATTGTAGTGCTCAACTGCATTAGAGGTTACATCCGTGATCAAACTCTGTGAATGGCGGCTCAGGTCACGAACAACATCACAGATTAAATTATACAATCCAGCGGACACTAACTGTGGAACTAAATTTCCTTCACTATTTACATCTTGCGCTTCCTTTGTACAAAAGTATCCCCTTTCTCTACAATGCTCATGCTGTCCAAATACATGACTGGGTACATTCAAAATATCAGCTGTTTAATCTTTTCTACGTTCGGCAAATCTTGTTTCTTCCTGTATTCCTGGGCTTTTTGGACAGCCATTCTACAACGGAAAACGTTTTCACCCATTTTCTTTCTCATAAGGATACTGTTTTTGATTTTGTTCGATGTAACTGCAATTTGCCTTAGCTTGTTGGAGAAGTTTCGCAGCAAATGGTTTTTACATTCGATTTTTTCAACAGTAATACTTTTATATGGTCTGCTCTCTCTAACCCTTTTGTATACGCTACTGTCACCGTCTGCTATAAGACGAGCGTATCTCACTCCATACATCTCTGCTACGTTGAAAGCCGTCTGCGATGATGGCAGGTTCCATACTAGAAGAGCTCTGGGTTGACTCCCAGTTTTTGTAGCAGGTATGCTCTGTTGGTTCCTTTCCTAAAGATGCAGCTCAGGAGCATGGAGTACAATATTTATTCTTTACTCCCATGTACAGCACCTTTTTTGTATTGTGGCCGACAATAGCCGCCTGTAAATAAAAACCCTTAGTAGTACACATTGTATATACGCGTTAGTTGCCAATTTTGTATAATAGAGAATTATTTTCTTTTGAGAACAGATAAATACCCTCGTAGCAATAAACCTGTCACACCCAATTTGATGTGATGGAGTGAATGTTGAAATGTGATTATTCGCAGCCCATTTAGCACAGATGGTTGGGCCAACGTTGGTAAATTGTGGAGCCACACAGTTGGCCAA